GTGGGCGGGAAAGGGAGAGAGAAGGGAAATTGCATGGAAATGGAAGGAGACCCTCAGGGTTATACAAAAGAACATACAAGAGGAAATGAGGGGAAAGGGAAAAATAATACAAGGGGGAGAAATGAATGACAGTAGAGGGGGTAGAGAGAGAAGAGGGGAGGGGAGGGGAGGGGAGGGGGGATAGTAGAGGATAGGAAAGGCAGCAGAACACAACAGACACTAGTATGGCAATATGTAAATCAATGGATGTGTAACTGATGTGATTCTGCAATCTGTATATGGGTAAAAATGGGAGTTCATAACCCACTTGAATCAAAGTGTGAAAGATGATATATCAAGAACTATGTAATGTCTTGAACAACCAACAATAAAAAATAAAAAAAAGAAGCCAGGGTGCAGCCACAGCTGCAGGAGGGAGCATGGGATCAGAGAGACCAGTGCACTTATAAAGTACCCAGAGGTTGCACCAGGCCCAGGGCACCTGGTGTGGACCATGCCACCAAGATTCCGGATTCTGGCCACCTGGCCTTCTGTTTCTCATCCCTGCCTTAAGTCTCTTCCTGCTCCCTGGGGAGACAGAGTATACCTCCTCTCTCCTTGTCAGGGGAGCGACTGTGAAGTTCTTTCTTCTTGCAAAACCTGGTGCCCTGTTGGTTTCTCTGTGCATGGACAGCAGGCACTTGCTGGGTGTCAGTACAGTGGTGGTCAGTACATTTAAGTGCTCTGTTTAATGCAGTACCCAGAGAAACAGCCTGCTATCCCATGGGGAAACAGTGCAATTGGGTGCTCTGACAGCCTGTATTTTAGAGCATCCTCAGGGATTTGATGAGGTCATTGTGGTCACCACAGTGTTTGTGTCCCCCTTCCAGCATTGTAAGAGGGTCCTTAAGGGAAGCTAGTGTTTTGTGCTGAACAGGAACTTCAAGGTCTGGCAGAGGCTTTCATCAGCTGGTCTAAAGGGCACAGCTGCAACAAGGCCTCCTGGGCAATGTTTGCAGACCACATCTGCACAGCAGTGCCTTTAACCCTTAAACAACCTGGTCTGGGTGCCAAACGCAGACTGCCTTAAGATCTGATGATAACACTGGCATCTGCCATTAAAACTCACTTCTAAAGTGGCATGTGCTACAAGGGAAAATACTAAAGATAGGAGACTAAATCTGATGATTCAAAGACACTGCTGATTCTTGCATATAACTTTTGTTTGTTGGATTGTTGTGAGATTTGAGAGAATATTTTGTTAGGACTGATGTTCTCCAAATTAAGGTTGTACATGGGTTTTAAACAATGGAAGTTGCAAAACTTGTTGGAAATTCATTGGTATTATATAAATTATCTGACTGGACTTATTATCCACTAAAAATATGGTGAGATTTATATACTACTCCCCACAGTGGGAAGTAACCTTAATCATATTTTCTAAAAGGACAATTGGGACAGCTATTTAAAGGATAATATTCTGAGATATTATGACCTCTCAAGAAGAGATTGAGGGCTCCTTATAATTTAAACTAATTATATTATGATTTATACCAATCTTTCAAATAAAGAAAATGGGGAAAACAAGACCCTACAGACACATATTAGATCTTACCAAATATTTTAAAATTTTTTCTTAATTGTAATATTGAGAGCTTTACTGTTACTGAACATGATTCAGTACATTAAATCAGATTTCCAAAGATAGAGTTGAAACTTGTCATCATGAAAATGACTGAAAAACCTGACACAGGAAGTAAATCTCCCAACTGCAGAGTTTACAACCATGCAGCTCCACCAGAGTGTCAGGTAAGTAAAAGCCATGAACAAACTTCTATGGACCCATTTCTCAGGTCCAATTTTAACGTGCATTTCAGGGGACTGGAAAGTCCATCAATGAAACTAGATTAACTGTACTGACTATAATGGTCAGTTAGACCTATATGTTGATCCTATGATAAACAGGCTGTCTGGGAGTATCTTTTGAGAAAAAGACCACATATAAGAAACTTAAACCAGCCAATCATGCTGGTCCTTAGAGATGAAGACTATATTGACCTATCTGGAAAATTGTCAGAAAGATTATTAAAATAGATTTTTCTTATACAGGTCAGTTATTTATTAAACTATCTACCAATATATTGTTGCCCTAATCATTCTACAGTAGAAATTGACACCTTTGCTAAGAGGATAGATTATGCAAATGTCTTGGCACTGCAACATAAGGTGTCTAGAGATATTGGGTATATTTTAGACTGGCTCCCAGAGTTGACAACCATGATTGTGCAAGGATGCCATAATCTCTGGAGGTTTATTGGTAATAATACCCTCACCCTCAGAGAGATGGCACCCAAAAGGATGTTTTGATGTTTGACTTCTACCTTCAAAATATTTATATTACTGACAGACCTAATAGACTCCTTAAATGTGAGAATTAAGAAAAAGGAAGATGAATATCCTGTAGCCTATAAGAATACAACTTATCTTACTCTATCACAGGTTATTGCCAGCTAATATTTCAGAGCTATAATATGCTGTAGTTAATGTTCAGGCTTTGAAACAAGTGCATGTCAATTAACCAGACCTAGGCAAGCTTAAATTACTTCCAAGATCCTTCATACTCAGATAAGTGATAATGAAAGAATTGAAACTAAATTAAAATGCTCTACAAGTGACTGTCATCAATGTTGTGAATGAGCTCTCTGCTCTATGGTTTGTAAAGGCTTAAATGCCATGCTAAATAAAAATATTTATGTTACAATGGCCAAACACAATGTTTCTCATGCAATTTGGAAAAGATAAAGAATCTCCTGATGAGTGTTTGGCAGAATAATAATAATAACCTGGAACTTCCAGGTTGATTATGTTATTAAGATAATATGTTTTCTATTAATCCTTTTTGCGTTTCAATAGTAGATCATGATGACTTCGGATCGAGATTCCAGTGTCTGGAAGATATAATTCCCCAATTGCCCTTTTTAAAAATATTAAGAAAGGGGAACTATATCGGGAGCTGCCACATAGGAACCGAGTGCCCCTTAGCCTTGAGTGATGAAAGTGTGGAGATGTGGCCAGCCAGCCATGGGCTGTATGTGTGTGTGAACTGTGGGCACTAAGTGCACAAAGTGGACTGAACCGACATTGCCCCTCTGTTTTGGTGGGCCTTGCTCTGATCTTTTTGCTCTCTCTGCCATGATCCCTACACAGGTCATGAGATGAGCATGGCCTCCATGGATGTTGGTCAACCTACTGACAGCAGACATCATGAAGCTAGACTCCACCCCCTGAAACCTGACCTCTTGCCTCATTTGAATGGCTTCTTCCCAATAAAAGTGTTCAGCATTTTCTCTCTCCCTCTCTCTCTCTCTCTCTCTCTCCCAGGACCCCTAAGGTCAGAGAAGCCAAAGAAAAAGGTATTTCTCTGTCTCTGTGTGGTGATTTCGTGTAGCCCAGTTCAACAGGAGTGATCCTGAGTGTTTGGTCAAGGAACACAACAGAATAGTACAAGAAAAATGAACTAAACTATGCCATATGCATGTATGAATGAATATACCACAATGAACCCCACTTTTATGTATGATTATAATACATTCATACATTGAAATAGGAGACCAGAACAGTAGAGAAAGTTGGAAGAGGGGGAGGGAGAAGAAAAAGAGGAAGTACTAGGGAATTATCTGGAACAAATCATGTTATGTACATGATTTTACAATGAATCCCACTAATAAGTACAATTAGAAAAAGCTAATATCAACATTTTTAAAGCTGTCACCAAAATTCAATTCAGTAGGTCATGTTATGTTTGTTAGCTGTTGATTTCCTTCTACATACAAACATTCTATTATGTCATAAATGTGATATGTGGCCCATAGTTACCATCAGTGTATTTTTTTTTAAGTTTCTGTTTTTCAGAATATACTTTTCAGCCCTCTGTTGAACCTCCCATCCTCTCTCACCTGGCATATTTTCCTGAACAATTTTACCTACTCCTGAAACCTGTGTTACCCTCCATTGTTTCCTTCCACATGTTCAGTGTAACCATAGCCATGTGGTACATAGACACCCTCAGTTTAACAGGCAGCTTGTCCTTTTGGGTGTTGAATAAATATTTGGTTTTTGCTTTTTTTTTTTTTTTAGTTGTAGGTGGACACAATAACCTCTATTTTATTTTTATGTGGTGCTGAGGATCAAACCCGGTGCCTCACACATGCTAGGCAAGTGGTTTACTGCTGAGCTCCAGCCCCAGCCCCAGCCCCACCCTGCTGTTTGTACTTTTATAAAATAAGGACTTCATGATGCTCGGTTCCCTGGATCTTGCTGAGGAGGATCCAGGCATCTTCCTCATGGAAACTGGACATTCTTCCCAGAACACTGGTGCACTGTTTCCTTAGCCTCCATGACACCCCATGCATGGGAGCCCCAGATACTGCTCAGTTTGCTCAATCTTTCCTCAAATGATGGTGCCTCCTGTTTTTCCAGGGTTTTTCCAGGAACAGTGATGAGATAAGCAAGGTTCCATCTGAGGTTGCTGGCATCAAGGTACATTTCAGCAAAGGAGCGCAGACCAGAGGAGCTTCCTCCGGCTCAGACACCAGGGTTCTGGTTGGGGCCCTCACAGAAGAGCTGCAGAGGCCCTGAGGACCCTGGGGGCCCAGGCTGGGGTGCTGCATCCTCACCCTGTGCCCCAGGAACAGGCTCTTGGTCTGTCTCCTTCCCTGTCCCCAGGCAGCTCCAGCCTCTCCCTGCTGCTGCAGTCCAGGTGGCCTCAGCTCCCTGGCTATGGTCCCTCATGCAGCCAGGGCTGCCCAAGCCCAGGGTCCCAGGTCCTCACCACCAAAAGGCCATTTTGCTTTTTCCGTTCATCCTGGGCTCTACCAACACTGCACTGGTGAATTATAACAGTGCGGATTTCTCTTTTTGTTTCCCAAAGGTATCAGAGCCCAACAGCCCCCCAGGACTGAAGGGTCCCAGCTGTCCCACATCCCCAATTTCCCTCCCTTCCAGGAAATCCAGCTACTCACAGAGAAGGCTAATGACTCCCAGGAGCCTGGTGGTCCAGCAGAGGTGGGGGACTTGTGAGCACTGTCCCATCCTGGCTTCCTGCCGGCCACTTCAGCTGCAGAGGAAACAAAAGAAAGGGGAATCCATCAAGAGGAGGAGCTTCCCTACTCTGAGGGCAGAGTTACAGGCCAGTGTTAGGAAGCCGACCAGAGTTCACAGAGGCAACCTCACTCACTCTAGGAAATTTCAGAATAAATGTACTTATGACGGGAGACTGGATGGACATCTGGTTTTTGACATCTGTTGGCAAGCCCCCTCCTGCAGGCAGAGCCAGCTTGTCTCAGGTAACTACACCTGCCCACACCCACTGAGTGAACACCTCTGCCCAGGCAGCCCTGATCCCAATGCCAGCCTGTGGCCAGCACAGAATCTCCCTCTTACAAGCAAGCCTGAGCTAAGCCCTCCTGAGTTTCATGGTTTTCCTTTGCACTTATCCCATTCTATAATGCATTTATTGTCTGATAGTCCAAGAACTTCAACTGTCAGTTGCCTACAGGAGTAACTGTGGTCAAAAAAACACCAAACTGTAATGGAGAGTGGTAACCACCAATATTTGCACTCAGCTTTGACGGAGAGGCCTCGTGGCTTCTGAGCTCTTGTTGGTGCTCAGGAAAACACAAGCTGTTTCTTCTGTTCTGCAGGCCTCTGGAACTGTTTAGATTGTGGGGTTGGGGCAGGGTTAGGGGATTGGATCCTACAGAGGGCAGCAGGATAATGGCTGGAAACTAAGGGCACAATGGTCAGTCAATAGATATTCCATCTGACAGGTGCCAGGGACTTTTCTGAACACCACATCTCACATTTTCAACGTGCCAGCCATCCTACCCTAAGGTATGATGTAGTATCCAAAGACACAGAGAGCCCCTGGTTCAATCCCCAGTACCACAAGACAAAAAGCAACAACAAAGGAGCCTGCACAACAGTGTGTTTGCCACCAAGAGCCAAATAGAAGAAAAACAAAGATCAGGCACAAGGAGTGCTGATGAACCCAGCCTAATTCCATGTTAAGATTGGGAGCCATCTCGTCACAAAGTCATGAAAGTTTATTTCTGTTTCACTGTAAGATACCAAGACTTCTATTTGGCTTTAAAAAGGAAACAATACAGTAAAGTCGCGGCATTGATTCTACAATTCTGGTTCCCCTTTTGTGAGAGCATCTGGTCCCCTCATGGGGACATCTTGGGGCCACTGGTGTAGGTGTCATGGTTGGGGAGTTAGGAACTTGGGGAGACTTTCCCCCTATCTGGTCTCTGTGTTTAAAAATTTTCTCTCTGTCAGGCATACTTTGGAGATCCTCTCTGTCATTGTGTTTTTGCTTTGTATCTCTTTCTGGCCCTTTAAGACATGGGCAATATGTGTTGGTCTTATAGGTTGTTTTTTTGGGAATGATCTTGGCTGAATGGATCACCAATAGTTGTAAATGTGTCTAAAAAAGATGGTGTTTTACTGTAACAGTTTGTTTTTTCAAATGGTTTTCTGAAGTATTGTACAATCTTGCAGTTGGAAGTTGATCTGTCAGAGATAACATAATTAATAAGGAGTCTTAACAGTCAAAAACTAAGTTGGATGCACAATATGCTGCCTCTAATGTGTGAGCTCAGCAGGACTCTCAGGAGGATTCCCTCTTACCCCCAACATCCAATCCCCCCTGAGTGCTCCCCTTCCTTTGTCCAACCAGAAACTCTAGCAATTCCCATTGTAGGACTAAAAGACATGAGGTATTTAGTAAGAAAAACATCCAGGTTCTCTCTGTTCACATAGTTAACCTTCACAAGCCAGTTTAAAATCTCCCATTACTTTTCCTGTGCTCAGATGTACTCAGTGTATTTTTATATTGAGATATTTCAGAACTTATAGCCTCAAATGCCCCTGGTATGCTTCTCCTCCTTCTCTGTAGGGAACCAAGAGGTCAGTTTCCCCTTGAATACAAGCACCAGCTTTTCTGTTCTCACCTCTTACTTTAGACCTCTTAGAAATATCTGAACAGTGTGTTACCAAAAGGCTTATTCCCCTTGAATAATGAACAGGTTTTGGAGCAAAATTTAACCAGTTTGTCACTTGAGAGAGAAGGAAAAACCCTAGGTATGGTCACACAAGGAAATGGACCAGCTCAACAGTCAGTGGCTTATCTCATTAAGAAACTTAACATCGCTTTGTTCTTAAACACAATAAGAACTACGGTGTGATAATTTTCATCTAAACCTATCTGATTACCAACTAAAATGGTTAAAACAAGTGTCTTAGGCATGAGGTTTTTGCTCAAACCAGCAGTTTCTCCCAGCTCCTTGTAGACCTCAGGCGGGACTTACACTGAAATGCAAATGGCAGAAGCCTGCAAGCTCAGTTGGAGACTGAGACCTGCCCACCCCACAAAAAAGATAAAAGCTTCTTTTGCCTGAACTCATATTAGACTAAACCCAAAAGTAAATTGTATGGTACTTGACTAAAATGGTTACCAGCCATGTCGTTTTTTCTAGAACCCTTGTTTTTTCTTAAATTTCACATTTTTTGAGCTCATCATTTTGGTCCTATGCACCTAGTTTAATTTTTCCCTGATCAATCCTATTTTTATTCAATTATGAAGTTTTTAAACATCTGCCACATTGCAATGGAGATTCATCTGTGAAAAGCTACAAGGCCTTTACTTTTATATGTGTGCACATTGTGTGTTGTGTTGTCTGTCCATATGTGTGTGGATCCATATGTCATGTACTCTCAAGTTGCCCCAAGAGTGACTCCATGGAAGCTCAGCTTAGTCTTAACAATATACAGAAACAACAGTTTGACCTGCTTCATTTTCAACATCTAGCAAAAATAGTTAAAACCAAAACACAGCCATTCCTGGGCATTTAAAAGATAAATAGTAATAGTTAAGTGTAACTTACTTAAGATATACACTTATGTTAGTCCCCCCCCCCAAAAAAAAAAAGAAAAAATAAGTAGACTGGAACCTACAAAAAGAGATTCTTAGAAGGAATGCCTAATAACTCTCAAGTGAAATGGCCGAGTCAGAAGTTTTAGTCAGTTTAAAGGCCTACAGATCTTCCTAACCTCCTACACAGGTAGGATAAATATTTGCTAACATGATTATATAGCCCTAAATAACCGAAATAAAGGGATCTCTAGTAGACACAGAGGTCATACCAGTAGAAAGATTTTACAAGATCAGATGACATGAAGTAACTTAACTACAGTTCATGGACATGAACATCTATAACATTAAAAGATAAATGTTTTGTTTATATTCCTGATAACTCTGAAGATGTTAAAGATTTACATTCCCAAATAAAGTTCTGGTTCACTCTGGCCTTATTATGGGGAAAACTTCTCAGCCCTCACACCTCTGGGTGAGAAAATATTGACTTCTGTCATCCTTATGATATTCATTGACATGTTCCAGACACTGCAATGTTTGTTCAGTACTCATGATTTTTGTTTCTCTGTCTTAGAATCACCCTTACCCAGATGATTTTACAACCTATTCTTCACCAACCAGACTTCAATATGACCTGACTTCTAAAAGAAAACTCCAAAGCTGCTTGCGCCACCTCACATCATCCCCTCTCAGTTCTGAAGCCACCAGAGCAGTTATCAGCCCTCTTCTGTAAAGCTAGGGCTGATCATGGTGACCACCACATGTAATCCCAGCTACTCAGGCAGCTGAGGTAGGAGGTTAGTAAGTTCAAGGCCAACCATAAAAAAGTGGGTTGGGATGCACTTCAGCAGTAGAGTGCCCCTGGATTCAATCGCTAGTTTTATATATATACATACATATATATATATATATATATATATATACAAGAAAAACAAAAGCCTGGAGAACAAGATGTCCATAGAGGCCTTGACATTTTTTTCTTTTTCTTTTTTATTAGAGCTTTAGAGTTATACATTGTAGTTGAGTTGATCCCAACAAATTCACACATGCATGGAAATTGATTTCAGTTCATGACCCTCCCTTCTCCCCCATCCTCTCTCCCCTCTCCCACTCTCCTTCCTCTGCCCTACTCGACTTCCTTTTGCTCATCTATTAATTCATATTTGATTGGCTCTTTATGTTATCCTATTCTTCTCTCCCTCTTCCCTTGGTTTTAGTCTAGCTTCCTCATATGAGAGAATACATTTGACCTTTGAGTTTCTGAGCTGGCTTATTTCAGTTAGCATGCTATTCTCCATTTCCATCCATTTACCAGCAAAATGCCATCATTTCATTCTTTTTTACGGCTGATTAGAATTCCAGCATATGTATACACCACAATTTCTTAATCCACTCATCTAATGACAGGCATCTAGGTTGATTACAACATTTAGCTGTTGTGAACTGTGCTGATAGAAACACTGAGGTGGCTGTATCACTATAGTATGCTGAATTTAGATATCTTGGAAGATCTACCAAGGAGTGGGATAGCTGGGTCACATGATGGTTCCATTGCTAGTTTTTTGAGGAGCCTCCATACTGCTTTCCAGAGTGATTGTACTAGTTTGTAGTCCCACCAAAAATGTACAAGTGAACTTTTTCTCCAAATCCTCACCAGCATTTATTATTGTTCACATTCTTACAACATTGTGACTGGAGATAGAGGAAATCTTAGTGTAATTTTGATTTGCATTTTCCTGATTGCCAAAGATGTTGAGCATTTTTTTATATAATTTGCAAGCTGTTTGCATTTATTCGATTGAGAAGTTTCTGTTTGGTTCTTTTGCCCATTAGTTGATTGCATTGTACAAGTGTGTGTATGGGTATGTGTGTTTGTGTATGTGTGTGTGTGTGTGTGTGTTTGTGTGTGTATGTTTGTGTGTGTCAAGACTTTTTAGTTCTTTTTATATCCTGGGTACTAGTCCCCTATCAGGAACAGCTGGCCCAAATTTTCTCCCATTCTGTAGTCTGTCTTTATTCTCTTGTTTCATTAGCTGTGCAGAAACTTTTTATTTGTATGGCCCCCCAGTTATTGACTCCTGGTTTTATATCTGGTGCCTTGGGGACTTGTTAGGGAAGCTGGAGCCAGTGATTTTATGATGGAATGTCGACTCCATGTTTCCTTCCAGCAGTCCTAAATG